TACTAGTAGCGATGCCCTTGTTACTAGTAGCTTCTAGCTACTAGTAGCAATGCCCTTGTTACGAGTAGCAACGCCCTTGTTACTAGAGTCGAAACTTGGCAGCGAACCACGGTCCCACCCCAGTTCCGCTCCCCGCGCCGCTGCGTCACGTCCTTTCGCGAGGGCGGCCATGCATAGGGTGAGACGGTGATCAATACCTAGAGGTAACTTGATGAAAATGTGCACACTGCGGACGAGAATCGGATCTGTAGATCTTTTGGCACGAGGCCCAATGCCTGCATGCCTCTCATGGATGCTGCTACCCTTTGACTCAGGTTGTGGTGTCTGAGCGATTTTCGCTGGGCTCTTCGTGAAATTTTGGCATATGGTCGACCGACCAAACTCCCTTTTCACAAAACAGTCTGAGCGCATCACGAGAAATGATACCCTTGTTCAATCCATCTGCTAGCATGTCTCTGGTATCTATCCAAGTCAAACGAGAAGTGATTTTCGAGCCAGCAGTTCTTTGAGTTTAAGAGCGTGAATGAGCATGAGTTGATCTGTTGTTGTTTTAACAGCGGGGGCAGCTACACAGTCAAACACACTACGGGCGTCGATTATCGTCTCCATTTCGAGACAGTTCTTACCTAGCTCTTGAACTCTAGCAAGTTCTGTGGCTGTTTTATGGCCTGACAGCACTTCTGTCATAGCGAGATTGATATTATTAGCTGATACAAACTCAATGAGCTGAAGATGATTCAAGCCAGGCTTGGGTCCCTGTTTGCTGCCCAGAGCAATAATGCCACTGCGCATTGCAAGTGCTGAGTCGTCTTCACCCTTAAAGCTGCTGTCGGAAATCACATATAACTTCCATGCGTCGGGAATTTTGTGATATACGAGCGACAACGGCTTTCGTTTCACGTATGACAACACACGATTCAGGTTGATCAGATCCTGACCGTTTGGTTCCTGAAGTTTTCTCTGAAGGGCGGCAACGAATACTGCAACATCTGGCCTGGTCTGAACTATATCCAAGCTAGGCCACCAAGCAACGAAGCGAACTGCGTTTTCATGGCTTCGTTGACTGGCTCATTTCGATGGTTCTTAAGGTCACATTCGGGTATTGGGTTTAGTTCCTTAATGTAATGTTCTTGGGATATGGCTCGAGTCCCATCATCACGCCTAACATGCTTTAACCCGAGATGTTCAAAATTATCAGTTGAAAGTCTTAGTTCATCGAAATGCTTAGTCAACAAGGACAACAGACTCTTGATTTCGGAGGGTTTGCCGGTTATTTTGAGATCATCAACATGTGTAGAGACCAAAAGCACTAGTTCTGCACTTTCGTGCTTAACGAACAACTGGCGATCGGTTTGGCACCGATGAAGACCTCCTTCATTGAGAACCCGGAGTAAGGCCATATTCCAAAGTCTAGGGGCGTCACGCAACCCGAATCCCGGTTTGAGCATCGAGAGGCACTCAGTCTTGGGATCGTAGCCTTCCATTCCTGGCAGCGTGCGGAGAAGCTCGGCCGTTCCCTCCGGAAGTTCTATCTCTACCACCCGCATTGGGGAGGATTTGTCATACTCGGAGAGTTCTTGGAATGTGATCCCGCGAAGAAAGGCTTCGCTCACATCAGCGGAGACTAGTGACCATTCCATCTGAGTTGCAACAGCTATGAGAATTCGCTGGCCCCACCTCGAAGTTGTTCCCGAAAAAGTCACTGTGTCCTGTTTGTCTAGGAATCCCTGGGCCACAAGTCTGCTCTTTATTTGTTTTGAACCTTCTATCTGCTTCCACTTAAGGACCCATTTAGATTTAAGAAGATTACGACTTTGGCTCAAAGGCATCCTTCTCCAAGCGTTGTGTTTATTCCATCTATGAAATTCTTTAATCATCGAAACACGACACGCTTCAGCGTTGGCTAAAGCTTCGTCACGGGTCAAGATGTTGTGTGTTCGTTGAATGACCGAAACGGCCATTTCATTGCGTGAGTCGTATTGAAAAAGCACCTCAGTGGTTGAGTCGGTCTCATCATCAATATTCCTATTTGGCAGGACTAGATACTTGTGCATTGGCTTCAAGAATACTAGTTCTGGTGGTTGGTCGTCTTCTGAGATTAAGTACACTTCGCGTTCCAGCGTATGTCTATTGATCTCTGCAGTGCTGACATACGAACAGCTCCATCCAAGTAAAGCGTCAGGCTCTGTCAAAGAGACGGGCGGATTGTCGCCCTCAGTGGCTGCTTCCTCATTGTCTTCATCTGGCGTTTCTGAGATGATTGGATTATCTGTCCTAGGCTCAGAAGTGCTATTAGGTGTCTTGTGAAACCCCGACCCTTGACTAGAATCATGGGGAGTGCTTGCTGCTTGTCGACTTACAGGTTCTTGGTTGCAAAGTGCCTTAGTCTTATTAGTTTGGACTATTTGTGGAGGCATGACCTCTCTTACGATTGGCATGCGGGGTTCATGCACACCTCCTATGTTTGGAATGTCTTCATTTTCTTCACGAAGCTCAGCAATTGCAATGCTGTCCTCCATAAAATTGAACAAACGCAGAATTGTCGGTTCCCAGCTTTGCTATGTTAACAGAAGCTTGTCCTGGCAAATACATGTGGCACCAAGAGTCGAAATGTCCCGGCTCCCACCAAACCAAAAGAACATCATCACAGTGTACCCCCGTGATCGTTCTGACATGTCTTCCAAAGCGAAAGCTAACGACTCCGTGCAGCTGCAAATTTACAGCTGCCACATGCAAACCTGCCATTAAAACTTCACCATACCTTTTATTAGCTTCACAACTGACCCAACGACCATTTTGCCGGAACCAACCTAGTCGAAGAGTTGCACCTATTGTACTTTCAGCTGCGCGCCTAAGAATTTCTATGGGTGTGTGTGTTCCCACAGAGTGATATATTGGTATAATAGCAAATGCCAAAGCCCTACGACAACCTTGAACACGCACCTGCAGGTTGCGGCCTTGCCATCTGACACCTACCAGTCCATGGCACAACGAAGTCAGGTCGGCGACCACTGCTGGTCCATGCCAACGAGGCACATCCTTTGAGATTGTCGGTCTATAGATTTCTACTTGATCACCTGTTTCCAAGCCCTGCAGCTCGCCAGCAGGACGAGTACGGGATGCCAGCGCTTGCTTCGTTCTGGCCTCTGCTGTGGCTTGTGTGATGGAACGAATTGCAAGTTCTCGAACCCTGGCGGGGTTTGTGGCTTCACCATCATCTAGGAGTTCTTCATTCATTACGTCCAACAATGGTGGCACGCCTCCATACAAGGCTTTGTATGGACTAAAACCGCCATAAGTCAAAAGCACGTTCTTAGCGAAGACTGCTTCCAATAAAATGAACTTGAAGTCAACGATCAAGCCGTCAGCTATGGCTTGACTGTCCATCAGGTGAATTTGTCGTCGCAGGAGATCATTATGTCGTTCAATCATGCCTGCATGTTGGCCTTTGGCCCGCAAGGTGAGTTTGCACCCTCTTGATTCAAGAAGTGCGGCTGCAGTCTCATTCAATCCTCCCTCTTGGTCACTGATGAGTTCTACAGGAGGTCCAAAATGCTGCATCCAGCTTTGTTGAATACCTTTCATGATAGATTCAGTTGTCCGATCTGCGATCTTTTCGGCCGCGCTCCACCTAATACACTCATCTATTAAGTGAAGGACTACATGGGTTCCAACAAACAATAGATCCATTTCAACTTGGAGGTTGAATCTTTCAGGGAGACGCGTGGATGTGACACTCTTTGAACCAGGACGAGTCCATGCGCGACAGATGGCACAAGTGTCAACTATATCTGGCACCAGAGCTATGGCTGTTGGAGATACCCCAGCTGCTGTCAAGAGTGTGGCCATGCGCCTGGCCGAGGCATGATACCACCTAATGTGGAGTTTTCTCAATGCTCGACGAACCACATTCGGCCTGATGGATCTCAAGAGTTGCAACGAAGTTCCCAAATCAAATCTGGACCAGTCTGGCTCTTCATCAGGATTGGGCACTATTGCAGCATCTGCTAATTCAGGTTCCGGACAGGGGGCTGCAGCGCCAACTGCATCAGGGGGTGGTGCATGCAAATCATCATGACCTGCTTGCGTTTCGACAGATCGTTTAGATGTTCGAGTTGATTTTGCTTCACCTTCCGCTACATTATCAACTATTACAGCCCTCTTAGTCCGAGGATCTGGTTCGCGAGAACCAGCTGCTGAGGCAGATGGGACACCCGAAACAGCTCCTGGGACCTTGTCGTCAACCTCATGCACGTCCCTCACGCCGTCCATCCTGAGCTTGGAAGTTGGCTCTGACGAAGCAGGGATTCGAGGATCACACGGGTGTCCACCCTTCCGATCTCGGCTTGCACCTTCAGTCATGGTTCTCGCGATTGCCCAGCGACAGTCCGGTCCTAAAGAGTGCTTGTCACTTGAACGTGGTTGGTGTTTTACACAGGCCGGACATGTCCAAGTGGTTTGTTCAACATCTCGGTGCTTACAGCCTTCATCCCTCGTATGTCTAGGATCGTCCTTCCGAGTGTGACCTCGACAACCTGGGCATGTGAACGTGGGGAAGGAGCGAACATGAAAGGACTTGTTGGTCTCATTAAGGCCTCGGTTCACTGTCGTGCGAGAAACCTTGGCTTGAGAAACATCTTCCTCTTTCATTGCACTTAAAAGATCACAAATGCCACGGGCTAGAGCCGTGC